TTTTTCTGTATCTTCATCATAATTACCATCCAGTCTTTGTCCTTCCCTGCTAAAGATTCCATTGCTCTTCCTACTTTCACAGCCTTACTTATCTATGCTCAGAATACAGCACTTCATCTCCTTTCATTTTTTGTGTGTCAAAATTCCCCCCATTCTCCAAGAGGCAGCTTATCAATTTATTAGTGTGGCTTATACCTTATCACCCTTTTTGTGAAAACATTCCAATTTATTAGTGACACTAATCTTACTCTGTCTCTTTATAGCAACTCTTCCTTTCCTGGTCATTTAGCAGAATTTAACAATCACTTTTTTGAGTAACCAATATTTAGAATTCTAGTAGGCATGGTAACATACATTATTTCTATTTTTGACAGTTGGGCAAAGCAAGAATTATTTTCCCAATTACACAGATCAGGAAACAGAGTTCAAGAGAATTTAAGAAACTTTGTCCTAGGATTCAGCCTAGGTCATTAAGTGAAATTCAGGCCCACATTCTCCACAGAGCCATGCAGCCTCTCTCTTACTGTATCACTCAGCCAGACATTCCAGATGACCCAGTATTATTTTCTCAAGGTAAAAAATATATAACCTTATTATATTTAATGTGAACCAAACTGAAATGAAAGGAACTATATTACTCAGTTCTCATGCTGGTATAAAGAACTGTCCAAGACTGGGTAATTTATGAAGGAAAGAGGTTTTTAACTGACTCACAGTTCCACGTGGCTGGGGAGGCCTCAGGAAACTTACTTACCTACAGTCATGGCAAAAGTGGAAGCAAACACATCCTTCGTCATATGATGGCAGGAAGAAGTGCCAAGCAAAATGGGAAAAGCTTCTTGTTAAACCATCAGATTTCATGAGGACTCAGTCACTATCACAAGAACAGCAAGGATGTAACTGCCCCCAAGATTCGATTATCTCCCACTAGCTCCCTCCCATGACACATGGAAATGATGGGAGCTACAATTCAAGATCAGGTTTGGGTGGGGACACAGCCAAACCATATTATTTCTCCCCTGTCCCCTCCCAAATCTCATTTTCTCACTTTCAAAACACAGTCATGCCTTTCCAACAGTCCCCCAAAGTCTTAGCTTATTCCAGCATTAACCCAAAAGTCTAAGTCCAGAGCCTCATCTGATACAAGGCAAGTACCTTCCACCTATGAGCCTATAAAATAAAAAGCAAGTTAGTTACTTCCTAGGTACAATGAAGATACAGGTATTGCATAAATATACCTTTTCCAAATGAGAGAAATTGGCCAAAACAAAGGGGCCACAGAAGTCATGTAAGTTCAGAATCCAGTGGGGTAGTCAAATCTTAAGCTCTTAAATGATCTCATTTGACTCTGTCTCACATCCACATCACACTGTTTCAAGAGGTAGGCTCTCCCAGCCTTCGGCAGCTCTGCTCCTGTGGCTTTGCAGGGTACATCCCCCTTCCCAGCTGCTTTCATGGGCTGGCATTGTCTGTGACTTTTCTAAGAGCATGGTGCAAGCTCTCAGTGACTCTACCATTCTGGAGTCTGGAAGACAGTGGCCCTTTTCTCACAGTTCCACTAGGCTGTACCCCAGTGGAGACTCTGTGTGGGGGCTCCCACCCCACATTTCCCTTCCATACTGCCCTAGCAGAGGTTCTCCATGAGGGTTCCACCCCTATAGCAAACTTCTGCCTGGGCATACAGGCATTCCCATACATCCTCTGAAATCTAGGCTGAGATTCCCAAACCTCAATTCTTGACTTCTGTGTACTTGCAGGCTCAACACCATGTAGAAGCTACCTAAGCTTGGGGGCTTGCACTCTCTGAAGCCATGGCCTGAGCTGTACTTTGGCCCCTTTTAGCCATGGCTAGAGCAGCTGGGATGCACGGCACTGAGTCCCTAGGCCGCACACAGCAGGGAACCCTTGGACCCTGGGCCTTGGCCCATGAAACCATTTTTCTTTCCCTCGTAGGCTTCCAAGGCCTGTGATGGGAGGGGCTGTCACAAGGTCTCTGACTTGACCTAGAGACATTTTCCCCATTGTTTTGATGATTATCATTTGGCTCCTTGTTACTTAAGCAAATTTCTGCAGCAGGCTTGAACTTTTCCCCAGAAAATGGGTTCTTCTTTTCCAATGCATTGTTAGGCTGCAAATTTTCCAAACTTTTCTGCTCTGCTTCCTCTTGAACATTCTGCCACTTATAAATTTCTTCCACCAGATACCCCAAGCCATCTCTCTCAAGCTCAAAAAGTTCCAGAGATCTCTAGGGCAGAGGTAAAATGCCCTCTGTTTGCTAAACCATAACAAGAGTCACTTTTGCTCCAGTTTCCAAGTTCCTCATTTCCATCTGAGACCACTTCAGTCTAGGCTTTATTGTCCATATCACCATCAGCATTTTGGTCAAAACCATTCAACAAGTCCCTAGGAAATTCCAAACTTTCCCACATTTTCTTTTCTTCTTGGAAGAAGAAAAAAAAAAAAGCACTTTCCCACATTTTCTTATCTTCTTCTGAGCCCTCCAAACTGTTTCAACCTCTGCCTGTTATCCATTTCCAAAGTCACTTCCACATTTTCGGGCATCTTTATAGCAATACCTCCACTCTCTGCGATACCAATTTACTGTATTAATCTGTTCTCACACTGCCATATAGAAATGCCCGAGTCTGGATAATTTATAAAGGAAAGTGGTTTAATTGCCTCACAGTTCTCCATAGCTTGGCAGGCCTCAGGAAACTTGAAATTATGTTGGAAGTGGAAGCAAACACATCCTTCTTCACATAATGGCAGGAAGGAGATGTGCTAAGCAAAAGGGGAAATTCTTCTTATAAAACCATTAGATCTCATGAGAACTCACTATCACAAGAACAATTTAAGATGAGATTTGGGTGAGGACACAGCCCATCATATCAAGAGCCTTACATTTGTAAACAGTGTTGTATTGCTATTAAGCAAAGAGTAATTGATATATATGTCCAGTTCCTTAAAGAATAATATGGCTCTAACAAATTGTATCTTTAGTTAACTTTTTCATGGTTTTTTTAATGTCTCACAATTTACCTCTGCTTCCTTTCTATTTTGTCATGTCTCTGCATTCCACGTAGCAGATTCTGGGTTGGGTGGCCGATTCAGCAGCAATTTTCCTCCACAGTTTTTCTTGAGCCTTCTCAAGAATATCCATGTTTCAATGGGTATTCTGAAAACAGTTTCTTAAGAAAGTATTCTTAATATGTCCTTAACTTTGAGGATTCAGCAAAACTGAGGAAATTATTCAGTTCTTTAACTTCCATGTTTATTCAGCTTACAGCTTGACTTTGGAATATGTCTGTGTGTTGTCTAGTTTAGCCCTTTATTTCGGATCTGCTACCCAATGCTATTCCATCTGTCAGTCAATAAGGACACATTCATTCTTTAAACCCACAATATGTCAGGCACTGGGAACCAAAGACAAAGAAGCCATATACTCTGCCCTCAAGGATACTACCTTTGCCACAGAAACAGAAGAGCAGGTCTCTCTTTCAAGCATCTCTTAACTTTCTCCCTTATACATGTTCCTGATTTTGGCTGTAAGATTTATAGAATCATAAATTGCCATCACTTAAAATAGGAGCTGAGAAACCCTCTTATTTTACTTAAGGAGGCAACAGAGGCCCAGAGAAGAGGTTAAATGACTATCCAGAAGTCACACGGCCAACATTTAAACTCAGATCTTCCTACTCCCAATCTGATATCCTTTCTCCAATCAGTTGTCACATTAGTTTTTCATCTTACTTCCCCCATCTCATACACATGATGGTCTGGACTGAAGGACAGGGGATCCATTATACGTAGTTGTTTTCCACCATCAGAACTACAAGTATAGTTTCTTATATTTAAATTGCGAATTCGAAGAATTCAATGATATGTGTGTGTGAGTGTGTGTGTGTGTGTGTCTGTCTGTCTGTTTTGTTAGAGATGATTTCACCATCTTGGCTAGGCTGGTTGGAATTCAATTATTTTAAAAGTCCATCTTGGAAATGTGTAGAGAATATAAACAAGTCATACAATCATATATCTCATCCATCTATCTTGCTATCATGACCCTTAGAAAACAAACTAGCTAATATATATGTATTTCTGGCTGTGCTGCATTGACATGCATAATCTTACAGCAAAACAAAATTCTCAGACTTCATGGAGTTTATATTTTAGTGGCGGGAAACAAAAAGCAAATTACTAAGCATCATAGTATATCAGATGATGATACGTGCTATGGAGAAAAAAATGGACTGCCAAGGTCCAAGAAAAGGAACAAGAAGACCAGTTAGAAGATTGTTGCAATAGTGCAGATGAGAAATGACGGCCCTTAGACCACAGTTATCAATGGAAGTGGTGAAAAGTGGCCATCTTTGGATTATATTTTGAAGGTAAAACCAATGGGATCTCCTAACAGATTGGATGTTAGTCATGAGAGTAAGGTAAAAATTAAAGATGACATGAGAAACTGGAATGATGGAGTGTTCCACTGAGGCCTTTATTCTGCAATGTCATCATTGTACTTCGTTCTGGAAACACAAGATAAATAAGAAAGGAACTTCATCTGACCTCAGAATGCCTCTAGTGTAATAGACAAGGCAAGCACACATGTGTGTACATAATTATAATACTTCTTGGTTGTTATTTTAGGGGTCTCAACAACATGCTGTGATAGCACATGGAAGAGAGTAATTCCCTCTAATCAGGGAAGTGAGGAAGGGCTTCAAAGCCAAACTTACAGCTGAGCTCAGTCTATTAGCCCAGATGTAAGTTAGAAATTCAATTATTCTTGAGTTTCTAAACTTGAATTTAGAAAGATACATTGCATCATATTCACAGGGTTGGAACAACTGGAGTAAACCAGGCTCGTAGTAATTTTTTTTGGTCCTATTTCTTACTGTGGTTATGCATGACTAACCAGAAAAAAAGTCATAATCAAGTACTCTTTCCAACTTAAGTCTCTCTATATATATTCATATTCATGTATCTATTATTTTCCATGGCAGGAGCCTTCTTCCTCTATGCTGGATTTGCTGCTGTGGGACTCGTTTTCATCTATGGCTGTCTTCCTGAGACCAAAGGCAAAAAACTAGAGGAAATTGAATCACTCTTTGACCACAGGCTATGTACATGTGGCACTTCAGATTCTGATGAAGGGAGATATATTGAATATATTCGGGTAAAGGGAAGTAACTATCATCTTTCTGACAATGATGCTTCTGATGTGGAATAATTTTCAGCTGCTCGTATATTTAGTTATTTAAACAAACTTGGGAAGAAGAACAGCAATTGGTGACCTCACTGCCCTGCTTCTAATCTGGTTCGTTCCAGTCTAGTTTTGATTCACTCTATATTCTAGAATACTTGATTGGGAGGAAGATACAACCATGATGACTTTTTTTTTTTTCAGAAAGAATATTTTAAAAAATATTTACAGAGATTTTAATCTAATACTTCTTAAGCAAATGTGTGTATTGCCTTCCTGAAATAGTCTAAAATGAATATTGTACCCAGTGACTTCAGTGGTATCCTTTTTTCCTAAGACCATTTATAATTATTAGTGGCAAACAGAGTCAGTGCTAATCTAGTCAAATTACATATGCATAATATATTTATAAAGGATTCTGGGAGATGGTCCAAGGGTATTCTATGTCAAAAGATGGCCTATTGGCTCTCAGTTTTCCTACAGAGAGTAGTGGCTTGTCTCTGATCAGCTGTTACAAACTAAACTCCATTTATGCTTTTGTCAACAAATACCAAGTGCCTCCTACAAGGGCACAGCTGTCCCTATCTCCTTTGGATTCCACATTTTTGTTTCTCTCCAATTCAGATATTGGGAGTTCTTCAGAGACTGACTCTGCACACTAGCTTTTGAACATTATGAAAAGATAATCTGTTAGGGGTTATTTTCATAGTTTTTTTTTTGCATCAGTGATAAAGCATACATTTGCACAGACAAGCTAGCAAGTTATGAGAAGTACTTTTATGGTTGGAAAGTAACAGAAAAGGTTTCTATGGATCCCAAATTGGTTAGTCACTAGGTATGCAATTATAAATGCAAAACAGTGCCGGATCTTTAGCTGTATATCAGGGTCAGTTTTTGTTCATGCCCAAATGACTACACCTTCCTCATTGGCCCTGGAGTCCTACTATTTTGTGCCTTCATTTGTGTTACATACACAGCTGCAAGCATATTATTTTTCCCCTTTTATTCAAACAATAATTTTCAAAGCAAGAAAGAGGAAAGAAATCACTGGCAGAAATAATCCTGCTGTTATTGGTGTTTGTTTAATAAAAATAATGGGACTTTTGTTCTTAACTTGTTATTAACTCTTCCTAAGGGAACTGTCACATATTATTATTTAATTTTACTTGTCTTTTTTTGTTTTACTTTAGGAGCATAAACTTGTTTTTATTTTGCACACTTTTCTCATTTCCCTGAGAAGGTACCAGAAAAAAACAAGGATACATAGATTTGTCTGTATGTTTTTCTTATTCTTTGTTTAGTTTTTCCTTCTTGTCTAAAAATTGAGATTTCCTATTTATTGGAACAGATTATTGGTTCTAATATAGCACATGTCTATAAGAAATGCAGACTTAAGTATATTTCTACAATGCCTTTCCAAAGTTTTCATTGGTTTTTATGGTAATTCTTCACTAAACTCTTAATTTTTGCTTTTCTATTAATAAATATATAGTATGTACAGAATTCCTTGATCACAAAAGTACTTGATAGTTCCAAGAAAAATATGAATGAATCTTCTGTGGCCACTTAGGAATACATCAGTTTGATGGATCTAATAAGGTACTGTATTTGGAGAGAAAAGGTGGCTATCTCCATATTCTGCCAGTCTCCAAGATATTCTATTCTTTTAACATCTGGCTTCTTCCTATCACAGTTATCAAGCTGAGAATACAGACGAGGAAGTTGATTCTCTAAGTCACCAGAGGTATAATAAATATGTGCTTAAACAGTCACATTAGTGGCCTAAAAATTCTTTAACCAAAAACAAAAAAGTTTTCTCTCTTTGGTCATGTCATATAATAAAACAATTTAATATTTTAGAGAGGTTATTGCCTTGAATTAGGTGCTTTAACAACTGATTTCCAAGGGAATATTAGCATTGATTTTTTCCTCAGAAAAGCAGATATGATTTAATAGGGAAAATTATTATTCTATTGATATTTCTTATAAGAAATTTCTCATTTTACACAGGTAAATTGAAGTGAAAAATGAGCTACTGTGTGGTACAATCAAAATACAAGGAGAAAAAATATTTAGGCCAATAAAGTGCTCTCTAAAAATTTTATTTTTTGGACTTATCAAAATAATTGCCTCAATTCTTCTCTTTATTGTATAGATAGCCTTAATTATATACTTATAATTCAGCTGGGCTGATGCACAGTAACTTTATTAAAGGAGAAACTGGACTTTTGTTATTTCCTAAAGCAGAACATGGCATGTTCTCCCTGCTATAAAAAAAACAATGTTTTCAACTTTATAACCATAAATGCACATAATAACAGGGAAAATTAGCCACAGTTCTCCCCTACTCACCTGAGCCCCTTCTTTAAAGGACTATTTGTTATTTATATAGTGTTAAAGATAAGATTCCTTAAAGTATAAGACAGAGAGGCACAGTATAATAATTTATAACTTTTTAGAACAAATAACTACTTGAAAAGGAACCTTATACAATTAGGGTATTATTTTTAGATTTGGTGAATATTTATAGAATATTAAAAATTAAATGTTTAAATTTTGCAGATTTTTTTATATTAGGCACCTTTTAAGTTCCCTGCATATTTGGCTACCACTATCAACTTGGAAATACTCCATTTGAAGTATCATCAAATATATATTTTGTAGGACAATTTATATAGGATGTGATTTGACCTACCATATAGACACAGATTACATATCATGCTTTCAACCAAAATTACAGATTTCATTTGAAACGTGCTGCAGATTTGATAGAGGTATATTATGTTTTAGGAAAATATACTGAAGATGGTCCAAATCCCTACTGAGGCTTAGCTGGATGGCTGATCTGCACATAAACACATAGGGCTGAATATAATGTCAAAAGGATTTGCCATTAATAATTTTCTTCAATGTAAACATTCCTAATAATTTTGATTGATTGTTGCTTCTAACTTAATCACTTCCCAAAACATGATTATTTTTAATATATATGTAAAAGACTTAAAAAATAATAAAAGGTAATATGTCCATTTTAAATTTTGTTCCCAGCCATATGCAGTGGTTTCCTGATAGAAAATACTATGAGAATACTGAGTATTTTTTCAGAATTTAATTTTACCACTGAACCTGATTTTAGCACATGAGAGTCTAAATATTAAGTTGTTCATTCTAAAAGGGGAAATCAGTAAAAACAAGGAATTTATGAAATTTTTACTTTAATTTTAATATCTGTTATACAGGGGAAGAACGATCAGGAAAAATATAAGCTGGCAACTTACCCTTTTGCTTTTCAACAACAAAATAATATTGAAAATCTATTATGATAACTCACAGATCCAGAAGTTGGCGGAAATGGACGAATGTTTTAGAAAACACTATCCATATGTTTATCTAAGAAAGTCTCACAATTTAGTGACACTAGTACAATTCGTAAAATACTGTAATAGAGTTGGAATATTATTTTGGTTTTATTTCATCATCAAAATCATAAAAAAATTAATGAGATTTTTTAATAATCATTTTCTTTTACCATATTCAAAATTTAAAAATTTCAAATTATAGTAAGTACCTAACAACTGACTTTTATCCACTTGTGACAAGTTTTCAGTTACCAAATTAAGACCTTTTCAGTATCTATGAGTAAAAGAAATAGATGATTATATCAGACCAGGAGCAGAGAATTTATAACATATGTGCTTTATAGCAAAATGCATTAAATTATGGATAAAATTTACAGCTCATATGTAGCTGCTGCCAATAAGAAAGCTCAGAATTGTTCTCTGGATTAATTTTACATCCTGTTTTCTGTCACTTTTACCAGTCTTCTTAGCTTTGTGTACAATAATGTTAAGCCAATTTGATGAAATGGTTCAGGTTGTAGCAATCTATAAATTGTCGGTACATTCAGCTCTTCTAGGTGAGCAATACTGCTGCTATTTTTCTAGAAATAGCAATCATTTTAAAATGCCAAATAGCTAACTGCTATGAACTCTTTCTTGTATATTGTTTCTTTGGAGAAGGAAGTTTTTGTGTGCCAATAATCATCAAAGAGGTGTTTTATAAGAATGTTGATGTTCAGAATTTCATGGAAATATTTTATCCCTATAATTTGCTGGTGAGTGTAAAACAATTTATGTAAATCTTTACTTTATATGTACAAAATATATAGTCTGCTGTACTTGAGTAATTTGGTCTATGGAATTTTTAAAAACCTTCATTTAGCAGTAATTCACATTTTTATTTTAGACAGTTCATGTGTTTGATTTTGTTATGTCAGTATTAATGAGAAAAAGAAGTGGATCATGCAGCTAATGAGTAACCATTTTGTAAAGTTTCAGCAAACTTAACATTATTCCATCTCATTTAAAGGTTAAAAAAGAAGAGACAACTGTAGCCAAAGTAGAAATTTATATTCTACACGTCTAAACTGTTTCCTAGCAGCTTTTGGACTATATATATTACTTGATGTTAAAGTATCTTTTATTTGTAATAAATGTTCAAATTTCTATTTAGAAGCTCCGATCTACACCTAGATTAAATCAAATCACAGTTTTATGCTTTTAAAATATATGTCTTTCAAACTGTATATTTTAATTTCTGAGTGCATGTTATATAGTATTTAATACTTCAGATGTCTTGGCAAATTCAATATAAATATTTATTCCCACAAGTGATATATGAGATATCTCTTAAAATTATGAATATGTACTATCTCCTTCAAAGTCATCCTAGCCTATGCTGTATCAAAAGTATTGTATATTTTATGGAGATGTAGTGATATACATGTAAATGTTTTTTAAGTTATTTTATTGAAGTTCAATCTTTACATAAAATTAAAATCTTTTTTTAAAAAAAGTGTCAGTGCCAGAACTGTAAATGAAAATAATCAAATAAATGTTAAAATAATTCATTACTCATTAACTTCCCTTGCACTTATTTATTTTTTAAATTATCTTCCTTGGATCCAGGTTAGATAGTGAAAGCATCTGCAAAGACAATCTACTTCTAGATATTCATGCAGTCCTACTCATTTTAATATTTTATTTTGATTATAGATAAGATTAATCGTCTTTTAAAAATATTTTATAATACCTAAAAATTTTTCTAAAGAAAGAATTATTCGGCCGGGCGTGGTGGCTCATGCCTGTAATCCCAGCAATTTGGGAGGCCAAGGCGGGTGAATCACAAGGTCAAGAGATCGAGACCATCCTGGTCAACATGGTGAAACCCCGTCTCTACTAAAAATACACATGGTGGCACGTGCCTGTAATCCCAGCTACTCGGGAGGCTGAGGCAAGAGAATTGCCTGAGCCCAGGAGGCGGAGGTTGCGGTGAGCCGAGATCGCGCCATTGCACTCCAGCCTGGGTAACAAGAGCGAAACTCCGTCTCAAAAAAAAAAAAAAAAAAGAATTATTCTAAATAGTGAATGTAAAACTGTGAAATGTGTTACTTAGGAACCCTTGAAGTAATAATTCTGGTTATTGTGAGAACCAGATGTTGACATGAACCATTAAGTTGAGTTGTCAAAAATTACCTTTGGTTGTTGTTTTGTAAGTGAAAATGAAACTTGTGCTGGAAGACCAGTTGACAGTTCCTTTTGGGACTCTGTTGCTCTCCCTTGCCATTCTGCCTCAATCATAGCTATAATTAGCAAACGTACACTTGTTTGATATTGGCAGTCGCTAGACACATCTCCATAGTTAGTTGTGTGTCTTCCGACGCCTCTCTTAGAAATAGCCCAAGGAGATCTTCTGAAGACTCTAGACCTACTGTTACTCAAAGGCTTACAGTAGAGTTACATTTAACCAAGGTTCATATGTGAGCAGTTAAGGCAAAAATCCGAGTCAAATTACCCTTGAAAATCCCACAAATTACCTATCAATTGTCCATTCACCTGAATAATGGACACCTGAATAGTGCAGTACATGTCAGTATCAGTGGGTAGAAAAAACCCTCATTTAATTGTCTAATCCTGTGGGGTAAACATTGTCATACCTTTTCCAGGTATTAAAACTTAAGTTCAAAATATTTTTGTCAATTGCCCAAGATCATACTAGAAAGTTAGACAAAACTCTTCTTTGCAGTTACTCACCAAAAGTCTTCCTCTCTATGTGCTCCTTTGGAATATCATCTTTTCAGACCTAGGAAGATAAATTTAAAATAGAAAGAAATTGTGGAATTCTTGCATTATAATGTAAACGAATGCATAGAAAATTGGATTCCTCATTTTTAACCTGGATTACAAGAACAAATCCTAAAAATCTTCATTTACAGACTTTTGACAAATATGAGGCAACATAATGCACTAAGAGGTCAGACTGAATTCAAATCATCTAGATTTGAATGCCAGCTTTTCACTGCCTAGTACCATAAATTACTGAGCTACTCTTATGCCTCACTTTCATTGTCTATAAAATGAGATGTGCTTACCAACTACCTCACATGTGCATTCTGAGGGTTATCAATGAATCATGTAAAGCAAGTAGAGCAGTAGCGTATAGTAAGGACTGGATAACTGTTGGCTTTCGGTTTCATCATCCATATGCCATCCCTGATGATACTAAGGTCACAACGTTTAAAGCACAGGCACTTTGTTGATAAAGTCCTTTCTTGAGAACAACTACTAGTAACAGGAAGGAGCACATTGGCTTCTTTGACATGTCCTGACCAGAATGATTTGAGCTGATCTGGCTGACTAGCCTGATGTCCTTCTTCCTTTCTCCCTCTCTTTTCCATATGCATCCTCCTGAATGGCAGTTGATGAAAAAAACAACCTTCCTATATTCTTCAGATTGACAGGATTTAATACACAATTTCTATGATCTCACAGTCAAGACATAAAAACTTTCAAATCAGTAATCTCTCATTTAAAGTCTTTACTTTGTTTTAAAAAGTAATTTTTGAAACCTAATTCAAACAAAACAGTGACATTAACCCTTCACTAAATAAATGTATTGAAATTAAGCTCATCTTACTCTAGATGTTTTGAATGCAGTATAAAACATCGAGGCTACTTCTTTTAACCTTTAATGTTTTGTGTGCTTTTCTACTGCACCTCCAAAAGCTAATTTCATTATCAGTATAGAGCATAAGTTAATTTTTTACACCAAAGAAAATGTTGGTGTGCTTTACTTTTAGTAAATAGATACTAAGCTCACAAAACATACATTAGAAAAGCAGTTCTCCAAGAATGGTGCTCAGACTAGCATTGGCATCACCTGAGTTTGTTACAAATGCAAATCTGTGGGCCTTGCAGGACCTGCTGAATCAGATTCTCGGAGAATACAGCTCTGGAAACCATTTTCAACAATTCTCCAGGTGATTTATTTTAGCACACAGTAGTTTAGAAACCACTGCACAGAGCTTTGGAATCAATACTTCAAAAAGGAATCTGATGTGTTCTTTTAAAATGGTAAGCTCACCTCGTGAATAATAAAATGATCAACTGGATTTACATGCAGGTTGCTCAGGGATTTGTAAAACTGTATTTCCACCTCAGGGACCTTGCACAGGTAGTAGCTGCCTCTGCCTGGTAAGCTTGTTGCCCTACTCTTTATGTATCCAGTTCTTTTCTTGACATTTTCAGCCCAAAATCCTGTCTTCCCAGAGCCTGACTTGATTCTATGTAATGCAATCAATCATGCCTTTCATCTGAATACATTACCAAGTCGCTCTTTCATTTTCTTCGTAGTATCATTATTTGAAGATTATTACTTTTCTTATTTCTTGCCTGTTTCTCCCACTAGGACGGCAGTCCCCATACTTTTTGGCACCAGAGACTGGTTTCATGGAAGGCAGTTTTTCCAGAGTACTGGGAGATTGGGGGTTGGTGGGGGAATGGTTTTGGGATGAAACTGTTCCACCTCAGATCACCAGGTATTAGATTCTCATAAGGAGTGCACAACCTAGATCCCTTGCATGCACGGTTCACAGTAGTTTTTGTGCTCCCATAAGACTCCACTGATGTGACAAGAGGCAGAGCTCAGCTGGTAATGCTCACTTGCCAATGTCTCACCTTCTGGTACATGGCCTGGTTCCTAACAGGTCATAATCAGTACCAGTCCATGGCCAGGGTGCTAAGGATTCCACACTAGAAGATACACTGCATGAAAGCATGGAATTATTCACTACTGCCTCTCTAGCACCTCATACAGGGCCTGGCATATAGTATGTGCTCTATAAATTTTTAAAAATGAATAGGTGCATGCATCTCAAGCATTCCTGCAGCCAGCAAAGGAACAGTGGAAGTTTTTCCCAGGCTGGAAAACAAAAGATTAAAACAGCAACATGGCACCATGCTTACATTAACAACAACAAAAAAGCTTCCCAGTGAACTTCTGCATAGCATAGCTGCTTTAATCAAACAGCAAGTCTGTACAGGATATGAATGCATGCGTGTTCACATAAACACATTTGGATGATACATTTAGATCGTTTCTTATTCCTGTTAAATGGGAAAATATAATAAAATCATTAAATATTAAAATAAAGTTGGGTGTAATCTGCATTTTATAATTATTCTATTTATACATTTTCTTTATAGAATAACACACTCATTATGTGCTAGATACTTAACATCCATGATTTCATTCTATCCTTACAAAAACCCTATATCCAAAACACTATTAACCCTATTTTATGAATTGCAAAATGACTGAGTTAGAGGAAGCAGTCACTTACATTAAGTAGCTCAGCTTTGTAAATCTGAATTAGACCAAGGTTAATTGGTGCAAAAGTCATTTTTAACCAGTACCCTTTATTGTTTTTTTACAATGTGCTTTATCATGGAAAATTGTAGTAACTGTCTCGACCTAAAAATTTTGGTACTGTTTTCTTCCTGCAGGGTCACTGGTTATGGATTTAGGAACTAAAGTCTAACTACTGACTTACTGACAACTGGATAAAATCTTACAGTATAATTTGGAGGCAAATGTGAAAGGATCAGGATTTAGTTAAGGACTCTGTTTTTGGAATGTTTTGAAATGTTTTTGGAACATTTACAATTATGAATTAACCCAGAAACCTAATAAACTTCCTTGCTCTGAAGTCTAGGATCTGAAATTAATATAGTCAGTTCAGCTTAGTTTTGATTAGTGTTAGCATGGTATATGCTAACCATCTCTACTTTTAATCTACGTGTCTTTATGTTGAAAATGGGTTTCCTGAAAACAACATATAGGTGGGTTTCCTGAAAACAACATATAGTTGAGTCTTGTTTTTTTGATCCATTCTGACAGTATTTCATACTTGGTGTATTTAGATGAGCATTAACTTTTGAAGTGATGTCTATCTACCATGTGACTCGTGTTTTCTATTTGTCATCCTTGTACTTTGTTCCGATTTTTGTCTTCCACCTTTTTTCTGCCGTTTTTCGTATTTTATATTATTCCATTCTCTCTCCTAGTGTATCAGTTACATTTCTTTCTTTTTTTTTTTTTTTTGAGATGGAGTTTCGCTCTTGTTACCCAGGCTGGAGTGCAATGGCGCGATCTCGGCTCACCGCAACCTCCGCCTCCTGGGTTCAGGCAATTCTCCCGCCTCAGCCTCCTGAGTAGCTGGGATTACAGGCACGCGCCACCATGCCCAGCTAATTTTTTTTGTATTTTTAGTAGAGACGGGGTTTCACCATGTTGACCAGGATGGTCTCGATCTGTTGACCTTGTGATCCACCCACCTTGGCCTCCCAAAGTGCTGGGATTACAGGCTTGAATCACCACGCCCAGCCAGTTACATTTCTTTCTTCACTGTTTTTAGTGGTTACCCTGGAGTTTGCAATGTACTACTTATCCAAATCTACTTTCAGAAAACACTATACCCCTTTGTGGGTAAAGCAAGTACCTTACATTATTCTTAATTCTTCCCATCCCTTATATCACTGCTGTTCTTCATTTCACTTGTACATAAGCTATAATAATTGGAT